GTTTCTATCGCTGAAAATTTCAATAATTTTTTTGCAAACATATGGCCTAATATGGCTTCAAAAATTCAATGGCCTGATATCTCCTTCAAAATCTATATCACAAACCTAAATTTCTGTTTAAATATTTTCTCTGGACTAAATCATGAAGAACTAGAAATTGCAAAAAACTCGCTTAAGACGAATAAGGCTCCTGGAATAGACGACATTTGTAGCTATATAGTTGTAAATGTGTTTTTGGTGATAAAACAACCAATTTATGAAATATTCAAATCTTCAATTATTACAGGATCTGTACCGAATAAATTAAAAATAGCTAAGGTAATACCAATATTAAAAACCGAGGATTCATTTACACTAAATAATTACAGACCTATCTTAGTTCATCCAGTGTTTTCAAAACTTTTGGAGAGAGCAATATACAATAAACTGTATAAATATCTAACAAATAACAAAATCCTAAATAAAAAACAGTTTGGATTCCAGAAACAACATTCAACCGAACACGCTATTCTTGACCTTGTAAATAATATAAATGACTTCTTTGAAAACAAAAAACACGTCCTTGGAGTCTTTGTTGATTTATCTAAAGCATTTGACACAGTAGATCATCTTAATTAGGAAAATGGAAAAATATGGGATAAAAGGTGTTGCGCTAAACTGGTTCAAAAACTTTTTACTAGACAGAAAACAATGCGTTATTGCTCATAAAAAAAAATTTCAAAATTACTCAAAATAAAATACGGTGTCCCCCAAAGTTCCATACTTGCACCTCTTTTGTTTTTAATATACATAAACGATCTTCCTAAAGCCTCAAGTAATTTGGATGTCATAATGTTTGCAGACGACACTAATTTATTTATGCATCCTCGTCTATTACAGAACTGTATGAAATTACAAGTTCTGAACTTAAAAAAATAAACAGTTGGTTAAAATCTAACAAATTTTCGCTAAATACAGACTTTTTCATTCTAACCAAATAAAAATACCTCCCGATTTACCTTTGCTAAATATAAATACTAAAGAAATAGAGAAAACCCAAGTAACTGAATTTCTAGGGATACTTATTGATGAGAACATCTCATGGAAATCACATATAGATATATTAAATACCAAAATATCAAAAAACATAGGTATCCTTTACAAAGCTAGTTCTATACTGTCTCCTGACAATTTAAAGCTCCTATACTTTTGGTTCATACAAAGCTACTACATATACGCTAATGTTGCATGGGCGAGTACTCATAAATCCAAACTAACCACACTATATCGGAAACAAAAACATGCTGCTAGAATAGTTTTTTAATAAGGATAGATTCTCACTGAACCACTTTAAAAATTTTTAAAAGCATTAAATGTATATCAAATCAATACATTCCAAAATTTGTTGTTTATGCTCAAATATAAACTTGTTCCTTCTCACTTTTTAAAGAATTTCTTTCAAAATAGCAAAAGCAGATACCATACCGGAGGAACGGGAAACTTCAACGTACCTTTTAAAAAAACTAATCTCTCGCGCTTTTCTATTTCGTACCGTGGTCCTTGTCTATATAACAAATTAATATCCAAAAACTCTCAACTGGAAAAATTGAATAACTTAAATACTCTGAAAACGTTATTAAAAGATCTTATTTTAAACACTAACAACTTTATGAATTTTTATTAACCCCAAAACATTACAAACTATGTACAAAACTAACTTTGTTCCAAAACTAATGTAATCTCTAATAACTCTAAAAAACTTAAAATAACTCAAAAACAAAAACAACAAAAAATAATAATAAGTAAAATGCTTATTTATCAACACGTGAACTATATTACCTATTTAGCAAATCGTGTACCTACTTATATTTATGTGTATTGTAATAAAATTAAAAAAATTAAAAAATTTTTGTCCACATTTTTTGTTTTTATTTTTTGCATTTTGCATTTTTATTTTTATTCTGCCGAAACTCACAACATTATTTTTTAAATATAAACTTATTTTAAATTGAAGTATTTAAAAATATTATTAACGCTAAGCAGATTCTTGATGACAGGACTATCGGTCTTCTGCAAGTTTCCCGCGTTCTTTAAAGTAATTTTTAATACGTTACAGTTTATTTTATACATTCTTTGTAAAACATTTTTTTTTTTAAATTTTACTGTACTCATTGAACGATTATATAATATATTACAAATTTGTAAAGATTAAAGAACAATAAATTAAATATATATACATATATATATATATATATATATATATATATATATATATATATATATATATATATATATATATATATATATATATATATATATGTGTGTGTGTATATATATATATATTAACATACATACATATACATATATGTTTATATATATAGACCTATTTTTAATAACTTCGTTTATGTGCATGGAATAAAATTTCAAAGATCAACTTTTGGTGAAACAATTAAGATTTTTTAAACTATAAAAAAATGTGTTTTAAGATATTTTCTGGAGTACCAAGAGAAATTTGTACTTTTAGACAAATAGTTACTAGTAAGCATTAGAAAAAATGGGAAAACTTTTCCTCCTGATCTTAGTAATATTTTAATCGTTTATTTTTATAACAATAACAATATTATTAATAATAACAGTTTGCTTTCTCATATCTCATCATCGTGGAAAAATTAGCATAAAAAAAATATATCATTTTGCAGGGAAAATTATGCACACATGCAACAAATTGCTGCACAAAAACAAATTTACCTTATTAATCTTGTCTTTAATGTTCTTGTTTTGTTTCACGAGAAACATTTTTAATACTTATCAATTGCTCAACTAATGTATATCAGTATAATATTTAAACTTGAGTCAATATTTAAACTTGAAAGAAACCATTTTTGTTTTTATTTAAATCATATGTATATTTAGATCTTCCATATATATTGAATAGTATATTGCCAAATTAGCAGTAATCAAAGCATGCATCTAGTTTTTTTTTTAAGTTAGAGGTAACTTTTTTTAAGCCTTCACTAAGCGTAATCAAAGTTTGTGAAGTAGTAGAAATAAAATGTTAGAACGAGATCATCAATTTAAGTGACACAATAAAATGTTAGAACGAGATCATCAATTTAAGTGACACAATAAAATGTTAGAACGAGATCATCAATTTAAGTGACACTTACAATAAAATGTTAGAACAAGATCATCAATTTAAGTGACACTTACAATAAAATGTTAGAACGAGATCATCAATTTAAGTGACACTTACAATAAAATGTTAGAACGAGATCATCAATTTAAGTGACACAATAAAATGTTAGAACGAGATCATCAATTTAAGTGACACAATAAAATGTTAGAACGAGATCATCAATTTAAGTGACACAATAAAATGTTAGAACGAGATCATCAATTTAAGTGACACAATAAAATGTTAGAACGAGATCATCAATTTAAGTGACACTTACAATAAAATGTTAGAACGAGATCATCAATTTAAGTGACACTTACAATAAAATGTTAGAACGAGATCATCAATTTAAGTGACACTTACAATAAAATGTTAGAACGAGATCATCAATTTAAGTGACACTTACAATAAAATGTTGGATAGTTGATAGTATAACTATTACAATTGTGGAGGAAATCAACTCATTGTGAGTGTTTCAAAACTTAGAAAACTATTTTAAAAAAATATTATATCAAATAACTTATAAAAATGTTTATATTTGAAAATTTACTTTTTTAACTGCTATTGCAAAGTAAAGTTGCGTTAGTTTGAAAAATAAGTATCCCAAAGTAAATAAAATAAAAATTTTATTATTTAGTTTCTTATTTTAAATTATTTTTATTTATAAATAATAACAACGTTGTTATATATAATAACAACGTTATCAATGTTGCAACATTGATATATGTCACTTGGTTGAATGTGTATAAACAAACTAAAAAGCACAAAGTAAAAAAATCTTTAGGCGCAATCTCTGTATTTTTGTGTTTTGGGGCTTTCTATTAAGGCAAATTAAGTTTCCTTTTTGGTATTAGAGATGCACTATCCAGTTATTATAGAGTTCAATGAGAGCACCGCGGAAGAGCATTTCACTAGAAAGTTCACGCTTTAAATGGTATAATACATAATTTACACTTTAAAGTTTACAATGAAAGCACGTCACAGCTTACGGGTATAGTGGTATGACAATGAAAGCACGTCACAGCTTACGGGGTATAGTGATATGACAATGAAAGCACGTCACAGCTTACGGGGGATAGTGATATGACAAATATTGTCTTCTTCATGCTCTATTCATGTATTTATTATTGTAATCAATATTACACGATATTTTTTTTTTTTTTTTTACTGACAAAACATAACCAATAATATAAAAATTTATTGTAAACATTATTGTTATTATTGTTATTGTTAAAACCAAAAATTACAAAAATAATGCTAATAATAATTTTAAAAAGTCAAAGGTGAATCTGTATCTTATTATAGTCTATTTGCATAAACAACTTGAACTTTTTTATAATAAAAATTACCAAAAAATAATAATTTATAATTTAAGCAAATTATAATTAATATATTTTGAAAGCAAATTAATCTAAAGTAATAATAAAAGTTTAAATTACTTAAATATAATTAAATATAACTAAATTCTCATTTTCAAAAAAAAAAAAAATAGTAAGTCAACGATTGTAACTCCACTGCGCCAGATTGCTTTTAAACTTGAAAATTAAATATAAATATCTTGTTTTTTTCAATTTTCATTAAATTGGAAGATTTCTCAAGTTTGTTTATTAAATGTGCGAATAGACTATAAATAAAAGTATTCTATTCGCACCTTAAAAAACGTGCGAATTAAGACTTACTTCGAAAAATAAATATCTCCTTTGAAGTAACAAAAGCCGACTTTTTTACGGCGAAAAACCATTGGCTTAAAAATAAGTCACGGCTTGTTTAAGATAATCAATTTATGTTTGTTTCGCCGAAACGTTAATAGTGCAGATTCGCCTTTAAGTACCACTTTTAAACCCGAAGTCTGGTAACGATGTAATCTTTTCTGTTCAAGCGCACCACTTGGTGAGAAAGTTTCGCTGGGACGTATATTATTAAACAATGAGTGAACTTACTCCTTCTGTTATAAAAAAACTGAAAGTTGCAGAATTAAAATCTGAGTTAGCTAAAAGAAATCTAAGTTCAAAGGGTAAAAAAGAAGAGTTAGCTTTACGATTAATAGACTTTATTAACAATGGCTCAGAGAGCAAATTACAAAGTGAAGATAATGAAAATGAAGATATAGATTCCTCGAATGCTAATCTCGAATCTTCTGAAGATTCAAGTCAGAATACTTTAAATGATTCTCAGCAAGAGTTTTTGAATGATGATATCGCAGAAGAAAACCAATTCCAGAAAATGGATGATTCAACAGTTGCTTCTGAATCAGAAAAAAATCATTCTCATACAACGGAAACATCGAATAATGAAGCAGAATCGATGGATACCAATGAAACAAAAAGTGATGCTATAAATCTTGAACCCAGTGAAGAAAAAGTTGAAACTGTAGATAATCAAAAAGAAAAAGGTATTTGTTAAACAATAAAGTTCAATGTATTCCACATAGAAATTAAAACATTTATATGTACTATGTAGTTATGATTTAACTATAATGTTATAGTAATATAATTAGGTTATAGTATTAAAATAGTTATTGCAATGTTATATATTCTTAAATTGTTTAATTTATAAATTATTGTTTACTATCCTTATTTAAAAAACTTTAAACAAGTTATTTTGAAAGTTTAATTGACTAGAAGTAATTTAGTTTCCATCAATTTAATGACTAGCTACACAAGTTTTATGTTGATTATAATTCATATAATCATAAGTATAGGTCTAGGAATAGAGAGGAAATAGTATAATTTCAAAATTGAAATTGCTTTAAATTGTAGGCAACTTTTTAGTTTTAATAACAATTTTTTATTTTTTAAAGTAAATTTGTAAAAGTTATAAAAAAAAAACTTTATTGAGCAATTTAATATTATATTAACAAGTGTAAATATGTTTCTTTATGTCTTTCTTCAAGTGTCAGTTGATGTATTTATTCATGTATCTATCTAAGGATGTGATAATACTTTTTTGTTTTGTTTCAAAAAGTTATATATTTATTTAGGAAAAAGGTTAGCTTATATTTTGATATATTTCATGGTTATTATAAATAAGAAAATGCATACTTTCATATTGCAAATCCTTAAGGTTTTTCTATGAACCACATTAAAATTAAAAGGTTTCTTTATATCATTTATTGAACTTCCCATTCTGAAAGTTTGAAATAAATTTAATGTGCCATCGAATTGAAGTTTCCTGCAGCACACAAGATATTGTTGTAAATATACAGATTTAAAGCTTTGTTACGCTGAATTTTGCATATGTAAAATTTTGCAGAGGGTGAGCTTTATTGGTGATAAGATACTTATTTTCTTATTTTGCTATGTAACTTTGTACAGATAGTTAAAAAAACAATTTACTAATTACACCAATTCTTTTACTGTACAATCTATAGATTTTAATGTCAATTTATTACTTGTTATATTTTTCAAATATAATGAGTTAAAAACAAAAGAATTTACATATAATTTTTTCAATAAACTCTATAATATGTTTTAATTACATGAAGAAAAACATAAAAATATAAATTTTTTTGCAGAGGGTTTTTCAAAAAATTTTAAATTTACTTGAAAGTTTGTTTGTGTTTTCAGTCATACATAAAATGTATTTTATTTTGATTCTGTAACAATTTGTTTTAAAACTATGGCTTCTAAGAAAACTATTATTTATGCTGATTTTTCAAGACATTAAATTATTTTTTTAATATTTAGGTTAAAATTAAAGTTATTTAATAGTTTATTAACATGGTTATTCAAGATCATGGTATGATTTTGTTATAACCTTTGCTACTACTATACAGCTGCTGTTTCTTTTTCTTTCTTTTTTTTTTTTAATATTTTATTTCTACCAGAACAAAACTTTAGAAACTGAAGTCTTTTTTAATTAAAGCAGGAAATTCAAAAAGTGTCTGGCGCCATATTTCCATCAAGCTCCATTCTCAGATTAATCCAATAAAAACTTTTATTTTGGATGTAACTCTTTATTTTTTTTGAATTAAATTTATACAATATTTCAAGGGAGTATAGATGCCTTCATTATCAAGTAAAATATAACCGTTAAAAACAGAACAAAAATAAATCAATGCAATAGTTTCTTTTGATTCACATATTAAAACATAGGTTTCCAAAACATCTATTCTCAGCTTGATTTAAACAACTTACTCTCTGACAATCAATACAGATTTCAATCCTCTCATTCTTTTACTAACTTGTTAACCATTATTACAGAAAGATTCTATTAAGCATTAGATTAAAGCAGTGAGATGTAAGCTATTGTTCTTTTTATACCAAAGGCTTCTGATGAAGTCTGGCATGCTGGTCTTTTTCATATGCATGCTGCAATAAGATCTTGGGTGGGACAATGTTTCATCCTTAGTTTTAGACGGTTTTTCCTAATAATCTTGCCTCTACAATTAGCTGATATTGCAACGAATTTAAAAAAGCATTAGTAATTAATGATATTTTTTTAATTATTAATTAGTAATTTTTATTTTTTAATGATATTTTAAGGACTTAATCAAATAATAATTTTTATGTTATAATGTATGTAACAACTAAATAATATGAGCATATTGAAATATTTTTTTTATTATTATTTCAATTCACCTCCTTAAGGCCATGAAGGCCACTACAGTCAAGGAGGTTACTTTAGTTGTGGTGACAACCCTCTTTCAACTCTATAACTCCGAAATACGAACCTTGACAAACAAGGCTGCTGCGAGGCCTTGTTCAACAAGTTAAAACAATAATTACAGAAATCCAATGTTATTATATTTCAACCTAATATAACATATGAAATCTAAATCAGTATTAGTTATTAATATTAATATAATTTATCATTTGTGGTGTATCGCATGTAATGTATCACGTGTGGTAGTGTTATAGTGGTAGAAAGCTCGCTTCTTAAGCGAGAGGTTCTGAGTTCGATCATCGCCAAATCCCTGGTAGTACCGTACTCAACTTACTTTTACGTGCAGCAGCCTTATTTGTCAAGGTTTGTAATTCAACATTTAAATATGTAAAAGTTCCCTCTAAAAATTAAAATCAGCGTTCTGGTTGGCATGAAGCTTAAGGTGTAATAATAAGCCTAAACTTTAATTTAATACAGTGAAGTGTTATGTGTGCCTTATATAATTACAATAAAAAATCATAGTTATATTAAAAGTTTTAAAATAGCACATTTCAAGGTGAGATTTTTTTTAATGTGGTTATTATCAAATATTAATTATCAAACAAGCTTTTTATTCCAGGTAGTCTGCTATGTCTACAATAAAAATGATAAAGTTCCAATTGTATGCATTAAACTCAATATGTTAGTATTTTAACTTCTTTTTTTTTTTAATGAACTTTCCACTGTGGATGAATGTTTGTGCACTATGTTACATATTGGCATGTGTGACATTTCAAAATCAAACAGCATAACAAAGACACCAAGACATTAGATAATAGATGGCAATTGAGCAGAATTATCTAGTTGAGCTGGAGTATTAAATTGAAACAACAATTATGGCTTTCATCATTAATTTTTTTTTTTTTTTTTTTTGGCTAAAAAACTTGAGTATAATACATATATTTGAAGTATGCAGATGATGAAAATGTTTCTAATGGGCAAACATTTAAAGTAGATGCATTTTACAAATGAAGTCAAATGCTGGAACAATCTTACAAAGATTTATCTTGCAAAGACAACTTATGTTAAAAAAAGTTTTTCAGGAATTGTTAATTGAATCCTTGCATATAAAGAAATCTCTTTTAATTAAATTTAGATCTATCTGTTTTATTTCCATTTAGACTGAAAAAAAACTAGTTTTCAGTTGCATTTTGTGTAAATAGTTAGTCATTAAAATCTTTGGTCTTTAAAGTTTTTTTTAACCCTTTTAACAATTTTCTACTTACCTTTTGTTTTCATTATAGCTAGTAAAGTATTTATTGCATTAAAGTAGCCTTTTCCATTTAAAGTTGAATCAAAAACTAGGGCTCTAAGGATCAACACTCAAATTAGTGATGTATTTAAATCTTAATATCTAAAATTAAGTAATTAGATAAATAAAAACAAGTAATGAAATTAGTGAACAATTTTTTGTGTCACTTTAAAATTTTCTTTTGCTATAATCAAAGCATATACTTGGAGGAGTGTATTTTTTCAGTGTGTTTACTATTTTTAATCAAATTTATTTCCTCAAGCCATTATTGAGCAATCATCATCTAAATGTTTTTGTGTTTTTTAAATATAGCATGTTTCGGTATATATTCAATACAGTTCATATATATTCGATATATGTGTGTTTATTTATATATATATATATATATATATATATATATATATATATATATATATATATATATATATATATATATATATATATATATATATATAATATTCATGCACAATGCATCAATATTTTTATGTTATTTTTATAGGTGCCTAAGTTGTTCATGGTAATGCTAACTTATTTAAGCTTGTATTTTTTTTTTTTTTTTTTTTTTTTTTTTTAAAGAAAAAAACTTGGAATAGATAAACTAAATTATTGATCAATATTTTAGTAACCAAAATTATTTTGCTTCTTTTTTTAACTTATTTGTTTTGTAATTATTTAGGTTATTATTCCCATATATTTTCTTTTGTTTAGATTTTTAATGACTATAGAATCAAAGAATGTGGAAGGTACATGCTTCAAGTGGTGTACAAATTTACTACCATATTGAAGTTTGTTTCTATTTAATACAATTTTAGAATTAGCAAAAATTAAAAGAAGTTTTACTTGCAAAAACGATATAACGAAGCAGCAAACAGAATCTTTTGATCCTTTGAACCTGCAAGATCTTTTTCAGTACTTAAGAAAATATCCTGTACAAAGAAAGTTAAGAAGTTTTCACAATTATTTTGTATGGCAAGAGTTTTTTGACTTCAAAAAGACATGTTTTATTGATTTTTAGGCGAGATATTATATTTCATTTAAAGAGTTGTTTGAAATTTAAAGGCTAGACAATTATATTTGAGCAAGATGTAAAGAAATAAGTTAAATATGGTTCAAAACAGTCACTGTTTGCATTGAGGATATTTATTTGCTGTTGGAACTTTTGAGTGCAAGTGTATTTCAATTGTCCAAAACTGAAGTCAAACCCTATAAGTTATTGTATGAACAGATTTTTATACTGTTAAACAAGTTACTTTTATTCATTTATATATAATTAGTCGTTTCTGACCTACTTGGTCCAGGCTATTTGTATTTGATATTTATAGTTAGGCTCTATATGTTCTACTTGGTTTCTATTCGGTGTTTTTCCAGCACTTTGACTGGGTTTGACAATTTCTTCGATGAAAATTTATCATGGTGTTCGTCCTACTGCTTCATGATGGGGTAGTAATTCGCATTATTTAGTAACAGATTTATTAAAAATGTGTATTATTGACCCAGTTGGTCGAGGCTGTTACAATATCTCTTAAATCTATTTAATTTACCATGTTATTATTTCATTAAAAAGCACCTGTTTGCAAATTTTAATCATTATACAACCTAAGGCAAAATTTTAGATTGACATCTAATGTCTCAGCATAAAATAATAATATCAAATTGTTAATACATTATATGTTATTCTTCATATCGCTTAAAAAGATTCTAACTCTAAATTATCAATGGTGCGTGTGTTGTGTGGTTCACTTAAATATATGTATATATGTTAATCAATAAATGCGTACTTAGGTCAGTGTGGTGCTAGCTCCACAAGCTATTCAGGAAATTTGTATAGTCTTATATTTTTATACTGTTTAAAACTTCAATTTTGTAATTACACTAAGCAATCTTTTTATAAGCTCATTATGATGATCATTATGATAGGTACTTTAATTATGATCTATATAAGGTACTTTAAATAAAAAAAAAATTATTTGACTAAACCTAATATAGCAGCATAGCAGTAGTAAATGTATATTTTTAGTTGTTTATATTAATTAAAATGCTTTGGTTATGATAAGATTACTGAAAAATTAAAGTTAATGAAAGAGATTATGCCAGCTATATATCATCATTATCATCAGTAAGGAAGGATGTGTGATTAAATGCTATTCTGTGGTGCCTTATGATAAGACTGTTAGGACTTCTTGGAGCAACTAAATAACTAATAATAATGAGGAAAAATTATTATTATTATTATTTTTCTGTTAAGTTATTTGTTAGTATATTTGTTAAATTATCTGAGTGAAGATTTACTATACATAATCTTCTAAAATAAGTTTAATTTATAGTTATGCTTATTTTGAAAATGCTTGCAAGCTTATAGTTATGCTTATTTTGAAAATGCTTGCAAGCTAATTTGAGTTTATTAGTATGCACAAAAAAGACGTTTTATGTGCAGCTTTCAAATCAATTAAATTTTAGCTCAATTTTTCACTGAAATTGATTGGCAAGAACTTCACTACATACAACTTCAGGCAAGCAGTATGCACATGAAGGTGATCTGTTATAGTAAAAAAAAAAATTCATTAAGTTGCACTTCATACCTTAAACTGTGCAAAATATACAAGTACAATGCTGACCTAAATACGCAGTGTGTGAGTGTATGTATATATGTATAGGCAATACCTCGAAAATATCTATTGTTTTTTATGGATATTAACCTTATTTAATTAGACTTAATCTTATAAGCTTAATCTATTAGGTGTTATTTTGCATATAAGTTGTTTAATATAAATATCTATATTTATAAATATTTAGATATTTTTGCAATTTTACATTACTTTAAGATAAATATGTTTTGGTTATTTACCCTTTTAGTTAAGTAACTTTCATGGTTAGTAAAGTGCAATAATTAAATTTAGATGAGGATTGGGTGATGGTAGAGCCACCATCAATTGAGGAAGTTAAAGAAGCAGAGAGTTCTGTCGGTGAAGTTAAACTTAATGATAAAAGTTCTCATGAAAATTTAAAAGAAGAACAAAAGCAAGAAATTAAGTTGTAAGTTTTTTTTATTACTATTTTTTCTTTTTATTATTTTATTTTATTATTATTCATTTATTATTATTATTATTGCTAATATTTTAACTTTTCTACAAATTTAATTAAAATTTGTGGTAATATATAAATATTTTAATAATATTTATATATTACTTTATATATAAATATTCATAAAGCTATAAAAGATTCTAAGCAAGAAATTTCTTTCGTTCTGCATTTAAAACGTTTATCTCGTGTAAATAATTAAGTTATTTTTTTTTTAATATATAATTTATTACAAGTATTTGACAAAACACAGTTATTTTTCATATTTATCAGTGCTAAAATAAAATATCTTCTGGTTTGATTTGTTGAATGTTTAACTAAAACATTCCGAACTATATAACGTAAATATTAAAATCTACCTTAAATTAGTATGTATGATATATTTTAAATGTGGTACAATTTTCTACTTTCTTAGAAATTTATACCTGTAAGGTAGATAATTGTATAACAAAACAGGCTTTGTGATAAATCAAAAATGCTTTAATGCATTTTCCTACTGGAATTTTTGATGACAAATTTCTTTTTATTTGCTTTCATATTTAATGACATTAACTTTTTTATACTGCATTTTACTAAATTATTGCAAAACTAATTTAATTGAATAATTTTAAACTATGTAGAAATGTTATTATTTAATGTTATCAAATGTTTACTTACCTTTCAAACATTCTCATGCTTGCTAGATTATTTTGCTTAAATTTTTTAATTTTTTTTTTTTTTTTAATTAAATTTAAATTCTAAATAAAATAATTAAATAAAAACTGAATCATTTTAAAAACACATTAAAATGAACATTTTATTTAAAATGTTTGTTTTAATGTTGTATTTTTTTAATTAATTTGTCAGAATTTATAAAAAAAAAGTTTGTTTTGCCCTATTTTTAAATTAAACAATTGCTTTGTCATTGTTATTTTAATTATTTTATCCAAAATTTGAATAAAATGTGAGTTTTTTTTGTTTTGTTTTTATTTTAACAACTTTTTTAGAATTTAATTACAATGGTCTTTTTACATTTTTATTTTAATTATTTTAAAATTTAAATAAAGCGTTTGCTTTATCATTTTTAGTTAATTTAAAATAGCAAATAAAGTTTATTTTAAATTCAGAGGTTGCCAAAAAATTACCAGTCTAAGACACTGTCAGGTCCACATTGCCAAATGCTAATCCTAGTTCTAAGGGTTGCTACCTTAAGGTTGAAATTTCTGCTTCTTTTTTTTTTTTTTTTAAGAGTATATCGTTTATAGGTTGAATTCAATCTTTGTTTTAAAATAATAATAAGTTTCAGTAATGTATATAGATAAGAACATATAAAGTTATATAATTTATTTTCTCTAGACAGGATAAGTTAGTTGAAGTTGAGGAAGAGAGCGATGCCTTTCAAGAAGTTTATCATCCACCTGAAGATATAGTTGCATTAGATGGGTGTAAGTATTGTCTACTTTATAGATGTGTAACAATTAGATTGTATATTTAGACTAACAATTAGATAAGTGTAAGTATTGTTTACTGTCTCTTTACTTATTATTGTATTAAATTTGTTTTAAACTATCGTAGTTAAACCTATTGTATTTTAGTGATAGTAGTTATGTTCTTAACATATTTGTTAAGAAAATAAAGTCAAAAGACTTATTTTATTTTTTTTTCAACCAATTTAATTGCTACAAGTCTGCAAATAACCACCATTAAAGAAAACAGAAAACAAAAAGTACTGTTTAAGAACAAGACATAAAAAAACAAGATGAATAAATAAACAGATATTCTGAAAGAATGTGACTGTCAAATAAGGTAAGTGAGAACCAGTTTTGGTTGATGAAACAAGAAAAATCAACTTAATATGTTTTTGGACCTTATCCATGAGAGAAGCGCATCATTAGAAGAACCAGCCTAAATAACAAAGGCATTTCATATAGAAATAAATAAGAGGTTTGTAGAGGTAAAGAATGGAAATGTTAGTAAGAATATGCCAGGTGTGATAAAGAGAAGCAACCTCCACATATGCTGATTTTGTAAGAGATTGTATATATGAGAGGTCTGTAGTGAATAATAATTTGGGAAGACCTAAAGTTGTGGACTCAGTAAGAGTAATGTTGTTTATCAATGTAGGATTATTCTTTGTATTACAATAGTTGTTTGAAGTTGATGTTGTATATCAATGCCCAACTTTATCAAAAGCTTTTGAGATATCAAAAGCATAGTATGCCCAACTTTATCAAAAAGATCAGTATGTCCAACTTTATTGAAAGCACATCAGAGCCATTCTGTTATTGTTTAACAATTTAGCTGAACAATAGAACTATTGTTACGTTTTTGTTTTTTGTTATAATTTTTTTTTGTGTTGTGATTTAGCTGTAGAGTGAGAGGATAAAATATTGATTATCAGAGAGTAAGTTGTTAGTTGATTAAAAACTCAAAGACCTTGCTAATACTAGAAAGGAGACTGGTTTGGTGATAAAAGGATCAGAGTGTTCTCCAGTCTTTAAAAATTAGAAACACCAATGCCATTTTCTAGTAGGTAAAAAAAAGAAAGGTTCAGTTAACCACTTATTAGATAGTTTATAATATAAATAGTAATTAAAATGAGTTCTGTAAAAAAACTCGTAAAATTGTGTCAGGACATCTCACTGTTAGCTTCAGAACTATTTAACTTTGTTTTGACTTTGTACCCTCATTAGAAGATAACAGGAAAAGTTGGATAGCAGCTATCAAAGAGTAATCGATGACTAGAATCGAAAAGATCCAGCATTCATCAATCTAGCAGGAAACAATGTAACTTATTTGCACTTATGTATATAGGGTATGATGTTGACAAAAGTTTTCTGCTTACCCCTAAAGACTCTTTACTCTATTCAGAGTTAACTTTCTAACTTTAGTCTAAAAAAGCTAATCCTACAAGGCAGAAGGGCATGAGACAGATTTTACTGGACTACATGTTACCAGCAGCATAGTGATCACGATGATCTTAAACCTGACCTATGTTCTGCTCCATTTGCTTCTACTTTATTCAAGAATATTTTTCTTATAAAAGTTTATTGATAATTGCTTTCTATAAAATATAATTAAAAATTAATCATGAATAAAAGCTTAATATAAATTTTTAATGTATTGCACTTTTTTTTTAGATACTAATGATTTGCATTTTGTTATAAGTGGTAATGGATTATTTGGCCATACATTAGTTAAAAATGGCTTTAGTTATTTGTGGGCTGGAGCTCGAGCTAATAAAGGTGCCAAGTCTGGAAAAGTCGGATATGAAGTTAAGGTAAGAAATATTACCATTAAGCAAAGCTTTCAAAAGTATAATAAACAAGATTAAAAATAAATACTTAGAGCTTTTGCATTTGTATCATTGCCATCTAAAATTAAAATTTTCTTTTAATAAATAGTTTTATATCTAGTTATAAATTTTTATTTATTTAAATTCAAATACTAAAGTGAACTATGAATCAAATTATGAATGTGAATATCTTATGAAAATTAAAAACTTTTTTAGATTCTAGCTACCCAACCTGTTGATTTACCTGCTAATGAATCTCCTATTCATGCTGTTAGAATTGGTTGGTCCTCAGAACAATCATCACTACAGTTAGGTGAGTCTACTCACTCTTATGGCTTTGAAAGTACTGGAAAAGTTTGTGCTTCGTCTAAATTCTTTAATTATGGCGAAAGTTATGGAGAAGGTGATGTTATTGGAACATACTTAGACTTGGAAAGTGAGCCTAAAACTCTGAAATATACCAAAAATGGAAAAGATTTAGGTGTTGCTGTGTCTTTGACTAAAAAGGAAGAAAAACCATTATTTCCTCAATTGTTTTTAAGAAATATGAAGGTTGAAATTAATTTTGGATCAAAAGAGGAATCTTGGTTTGGGCCACTTGATGGATACAAATTTATTCAAAATGTTCCTAAAGATAATTTAGTGTCATTAACTTATAAGTATCCTGAGACACGTGAATCTTGTGAGGTATCTTATTGTTTTTACACACACATTCATATACACTATAGCTAGGGTGACCATATTTAAAAAGGTAAAACTGCATCAATTGAAAAGATAAAAAAAAGTGTGAAAACAGGCGAAGACTGTCTAAAATAGTTGGATTGTGACCTCTAAGGGCCCAAAACTAGACTAAAGAGAACCAAAAAAAAAAATTTCTTTTTATTTTGATATATATATGTATATATATATATATATATATATATATATTGATTTTTTAAAATTTATTTTATATTATCAAAAAACCAACACATAAATGGTGAACATTTTAGTTCTTCCTGGTGTTGGCCATTTTTTATAAACTTCCATTATTTAGAGAAATTTTTGTTGTAAAGAACATTTATACCTTAAAATTTTAGGTAGTTAAAAACTAGTTAAAAAAAAAATTGAATTATTAAGTGACTGGAGCCCGGTCCCGGCTAAAAATAAAACTTTTTGCAAATCTGGCCCCAGTAAAATTATAAGATTTTGCAGGGGTTGATAGCTGGGGCTAGAGAAAAAATTTATAACTTTTTTTATATTATAATTTATACTTATATTTACTATTTATTAAATTCTGGCATATATTTTTTAATAATTTTTAATAAATAAGGACAGATACAGTAAAAAGATGCTTGTTGAATAAGAAGCCAAGCAAGAATGAGTTTTGGTTAATTGTAATAGAGATGATAGCTTGTTTGAGCATTGACCATGATTAGAGAAACAGCATAAAAGACAAAGGCTAAAGCCTGGTGATGATGATACAGGGTGGCTAGCAACCTGGAACATTCATGGAAATTCTACACTATGATAAAAAATCAGGGAATTTTGATGGATTCAATAACAAATATATTTTGCATATCAAAAACTATAAACCTTTTAATATTTTTAAACTGTTTTTTTGTTTAAAGTAAACAGAACTTAGTATAACTTCTATTATTTGTGTTAATTTTGTGTGATTTTATTTGTTGCCTTTTTATTGCTATGTAATACTTATAAGTCAGTGAAATTTCATTGTAATCAGGGAAAATCGAATCAAAGATTGCCTGGTTACCCTGTAATGATAATGATGGTAATGATGATTATAATCATCTTGATCATAATGATGTTTATATATGCATATATATACAAAATATAACATGAATTTAAAAAAACATTTTGTACTTTAGGATTTATGAATGCTTATGCAGCTCCTGTCACAAATCTGGCCACGGCTATATTTTAACAAATCTGGCCTACATTGAATTTTTATCTTAAATTTTTTTAAAAAATCTGACATTCAATTTAAGTAAAAAGAAATACCTGGAACAAGAATTTTAAGTTTATTTTAAAGCAAGAGATATATATATATATATATTCCAATAGATATTTAGCTATTGGAATATCCATATGAATCCATTTAGCTAATGATCAACAGTTTAATAATAAATACGTATAAATGGTTTTTTTATCAAAACTATACTCCTTTATTGATTTTGCAAAGTTGAAAACACGCTAATGAATTAAAACTTGTAAATATAATATTCTAAAACATAAGTTATCTATTGCCTGGTTTGTTTACAAATTTTTTTTTTCCACAATGTGGTTTTATCAGTCATTATTTACAGTAATTGATGTTGATAAATAAAATTATTTAAAAAAAATTATTTAAAAAAAAAGAAAGCAGTTTCGTAGTGCTTTTTTGGGAAATCTAAAAGCTTATCTAAAATTAAGGCAATCCCTTAATACCAGGGATGTCTGGTCACCCTAACTAACCCATATAGGTATAAATTTTTTCAGCCTAAACCTTTTTTTTTCCCAAAAGAAAATTAAACAGAATAATGAAAAAAAGTTGCTCAAACCTAATTATTTAGTTAATCTAAAAACAGAAAAAAGGAATATCAACTTAGCAAAACAAATTAACTGACGTTGTTTGCTTCTAACGAGGACCATATATAAGTTTTAAATAAATATATATTAATTATTAGAATTTATAAATTATAATAAATCTTTTGTTTTAAGTTTGATTTTTGATGTTTATCCTTACAAAATATTAGGTCATTATGATGGTTGGTTTACCTAATGCTGGTAAATCAAACTGGGTCAGAAAGTATAGGGATTCTCATCCTGAAAAGCTTTATAATGTCATTGGTGTCACCCATATTCTTGAGAGATGTTTGGTAAGTTTAATAAACGTTTATAAATCGTCTTTTAATTTACTTAATTTGAATTAAATTTTTCTTTTATTTCAGCTCTCTGGAAATCCAAGAAAAAAAACAGACGAGGGACATGAAGCATTCATGAAAAATGTTATTCGTGTTCTAGCCATGCTCTATAAGATATGTCCAAAGACTAAAAGAAACTATATATATGATCAGGTTTGTTATATTTTAATGAACGATCGCAATATTTTATTTCTTTATTTTTGTTTGGTATGTATACGGTATTTTGCTTTTCTAGAACAATGTTTACAAAATTGCTCAAATTACTAAAATGGAAGCATTTACTGGATTTAAACGCAAAGCAGTTGTTGTTGTCCCAACTCATGATAATTTACGCAAAAGAACGTCAGATTCTAAAAGAAAAGCAGATGGGTATCTTCATGATGTTCCTTTTGGTGATCTCTGTGACATGAAGTGTAAGTTTAATTTATTAGAGTTTTTTCTATCTATAATCGTTACTTTATATATATATATTTTTTAATTATTGTAGCTAATATTAACTTTAATTAATATCAGGTAATTTTCACATACCGGAAGTTGGAGAAATATTTAGTGAAGTCGTTTATCCTGAACTTGATGAAAGAAATGCAACGAAAACTGTTAGTGATTATAAAAGCGACGGCGAAAGAGCCAAGCGTACTGGTCGCGATGAAAATTACCAGCGAAAACGCTCAAGAAATGACGATAGAAACTATGGTAGAGACAGGTTTAATAACCGAAGTAAGTTTAGCTCTTATTAATAGTTCAAACATTAATATTAAACATGAAAATATTAATCATTACTTTGAATTCATTTTAGGCAGGGATCGTAGAGACGATGGTTGGAAAAAAAGCGGCAGTGGTTACGGTGTTTATAGCAACAGTCCTGGTGCCAAAGGCAACCAAGCAAGTGGCTTCAATAAAAATGTAAGTAATCAAGGTGGCGGTTTTAAGCGTGGCCGTGATAGTCAAGATCGTCGCCATGGTGGAATTGCAAGCGGCGGTGGTGGTGGTTACAGGCAAAATTCTTCTTATGGTAGCAGTTATGGAAAGAGTGGTGGTGGGTCATATAGGGGTAGTTCTGGTAACTATGGCTCCTCTGGAGGTGGAGGCTATGGATCAAATTACGGTTCATACGGAAACTCGTATTCTTCAGGGGGTTACGGAAGCGGAGGAAGTTATGGCGGCTATGGAAGTTCTTACAATCAAACAAGTAGTCGAACAGGTTCAGGACAAGGAGGGTGGAGTCAATCAGGCGGAAGTTACAACCTTCAGCCATCCACAAATCAGTGGGGTTCGTCTTCGGGTCAATGGGGAGGCGGTTATAACTCGAACAATAGCTATAGTAGCAGTAATTACAATAATGGAAATAGCTATGGGGGATGGTAAATTTGACTATTGACATTATGTTTAGGTGGCCTACGACTCGAAAACCTTTTTTGCTTCTAGAGAAAAATAAATTGAACGTTATGTACATATTTATGCAGCTGTCGAATAAAAGTGTAAAAGAGTTTTTTTTATTAATGTGTAATGAATATCCGTCAACTTTTATTCTAAATAAAAGATTCTGCTTTGGAAATGTACACAGTAATCATTTTTTCCAATTTTTGGTAAAGAATATAGTTTTTTATTTTTTGTGTCGGGCGCGCAGTGGAGCGTTTAATCGATTTATATATATGTATATATATGTATGTATATATGTATGTATATATATATATATGTATATGTATGTATGTATGTATATGTATATGTATATTAGGGTGACACAAAGTAGGGTCGAAAAATAACATTTTTCAAAAATCAATATATATATATGTATATATACATATATATGTATGTATGTATATATATATATATATATATATATATATATATATATATATATATATATATATATATATATATATATATGTATATTAGGGTGACAAAGTAGGGTCGAAAAATAAAATTTTTCAAAAATCAATAACCGCAGTTGCTTATCCTGTTCTACAACATTCAGTTAGTCTTAAAACAAAATATCACTTATTTTTATTCGTTGGAAAAGTAGTTTTTTAAATATTGAACTTTATGTCATTTTTTACGGGTTAAAATATGTTTATATCTAAACTTTTGTTTGATCTTACAAGAAAAAAAATACTGTTTATAGTTTCATACAGTTAGCTATTATTTTGTATTAATTTTTTAACTCTAGGTTTTAGCTTTACCAGTTCCTTAAGCGACATATCTTTTGTTATAAGCTTTCTGTGCTCTCTGGCTACCAAAAGAATGTTCTGGCTCTGATCCTCATTGTGGGAACTGAACAAAGTTTTCAATTAAACTAATATTTCTTTCTGCGCAATCGTTGGTCACACTAAGATTGCAACTAACTGAGCAAAATTTTTGTATGAATCTAGCGCTAAGAAATCACTTGAAGTATGCCACTCTCGAACAGATTCGGTGTGACCTGTAAGTATAAAAAATAGCCAACTCTCCTTCGTAATTAAATCCTCTAATCGACTATCACTGGTAACGTTAACAGCAGAAGGAGCTGTAACAGAAATCTCTGATAACTCAGGAATTGGAAATTTTAAAAGTTTCTGAATGATTAAACGCTTAGCATCTGCTTTCATATAAGGATCACCTAACGATAGTACGACAACTTTAGGAGACAAAATACCATGTGTGGTTACACATGCTTTTTTGAAGTGAGTTTCAAATCCCATTCTGTTTTAATTGTTTCAGCAATTTTGAATGCGTTAAAATCATTCAGAACAGCATGTTCTGCTTTGCCTGAGTTAAGAAAGGCAGGTCCATAATAAATAGCAACAATAAATACTACCCTTAAGACCATATGTTTTTTTTCAGGAGTCAGATATTCAACGACTGTGGATGTCATATCGAGCATTAGAAAATATATTGCATAGGCCATAAACCTTGCATTGTGACAGGCGCCAGGCTGATAGATGTGAAAATTATTTAATTTCTCAGACTTAACATTCATGTAATACGCCAAGTATTCAACAAGATGCCTGTAATCGTTCCTAAAATATTCCTAATTTTATTTAATAACTTTAAAAAAAAAAGTATATTTATGAAAAAACTAATTCATTTTATATTATTTTTACATACCTGGGGAAGACTTCATGTTCTAGTGCTTTAGTAACAAACTTTTTAGACTTCAAATAGAGTTTGCAGAGATCACTGCCAACAATAAGGTCTTGCTCAGGAAATCGTTTGAACTTTTCTACAGCACCACTAGCTGAAACTTTAGGAAAAAATTCTGTTATTCATTTTTGCTGAAAATCTTTTAGTAACTTATTCGCAGGGGCTTTAGACATTTCCATTGAAATTGCCTTTAAAGTCCAAGTAATATTTATTTCGGCAATATGGTGTCTACACAATAACCAAAGAAATGGTTTACCGAGAAATCTTGCCATAATAGTTATTGCACCAGATTTCCATCCAGTGTTACTGACTGTGGTGTCAGAACAGAATCCTACAATATAGTCACAAATTTCAAAATATTCTAGGAGATTCATAATACTTACAGCCATATCGATTCCCTTACCACTATCAGTTGGCACAACACCGAGTAAAAGATCATCTTTGGTTTCAAACTCTGGGCTAGTAACAGATACTGATAGTCTATCTGCAGTAGTTGCCTGTCTAGTGTCCTCCTCAATATGCTTTAAAATTTTACCATCAAAATGTAAAACTAACATCTTGTTAGCCATTAAATTAATATATTCATTACGTATCTGGCCTTCTTCCTTTTGTTTTTTAGGTTCTGTAGGTTCCTCACTTGCGAAATTGAAATTTATATCATTGTTAGGAAAAAAGTTGTGATTCCATTGCCTTTTTTCCCCAATTTTTTCTTTGTTGTCACGAATTATCGAATCGTTGCTCTTCTGTACTCGATCTTTATATTCTTCTTTCCTCTTGCATCTATCAATCTTTCTCTGAAACCTTGCTTCAAGCTCTGTGTCAATTTTAGAAGATATGATCATATTTCTGTTAGTTCTGTGCAAAAAGTTGTTAAAACACTTAGCGTAAGATAAATTTGAATAAAAAAATAAAATTTCTCAAAAAAATGATTTTTTTATATAAGGGAAAAATTAGTAGATATATCATAATTGAAAAATAGGTTAAATCTTCGCAAAAAAATTTGAGCAAAAAATACCTTTGATCATCTAAGAAGGCCAAATCCTTTTGTAAAGCAGAAGTATCACGAGGCATTGATTCATTGCGTCTCAACTTCATCTCAAAGTCCTTCGCACTGATGTCAAACAATTGCTGTACCATATTGTAAAAGTCATTTTTGTGGCGTTCGGAAATTTGCTTTTTGATTTGAAAGGTTTTACTGTTGCACAAAGTTTTGTATTTGCTGTATAGAGATTTAAACTTTTCCACTATACTTCTCTCAGAAATTAAGTAATTACTGAAACCAGCAGACTTCCAAATATTTACAATTTGTCGGAGTAAACAGTATTTTTCGGTATTTGAATTACAAAACTCGTCTTTCCCTTTACATATAACATCCTCTCGTGCTCGAGAACATGAAAAGTTTATTTTAATAGGTTTGAATCGCTTATCTCTAGCTGAAGTTAGGAACAAGTAATATCGAAGAACACTTCTATTTGATGGAAGTTGGTTTGTAGGTAGATAGCTTAAAGGCGAGTTAAGCAGGTAAACAGAACTCCGAGCGTTATAGCTAATTTCTTTTTTTTTTTCTCTCTTTGATTTTCAACATTTTGTACGGATATGTAAACAGTAAAAAAAAATCGAAGTTTAAAGTAAGATAATTAATAAATCAAAAGTTGCCAAGTGATTAAACGCAATCCACTAAGTTTATGGTGCAATTAAAGTTTTTAAAAAATAGTTGTGAATGACCACAAATGTTTTAAAAACATCTTGAGTTTTTGACACATGTTTTAAAAACTTGCTGAATGATGTGAAAATAATAAAATAATATGAAGAAAAAAAAAGGCTTGGAACGTAAAATTTTTAAATTTACATGTAGCTCTTCCTGATCACTTAGGGATCTAAAATTTTTTTTGTAGATTTCCGAAGTTTGGTAGAACAGGAAAATGTACTGCGGCTTTTTTTTTTTTAATTTTGTGTCACCCTAATGTATATATATATATGTATATATATGTATATATATATATGTGTGTGTATATATATATATGTATATGTATATATATATATATATATATATATATATATATATATATATATATATATATATATATATATATATATATATATATATATATATATATATATATATATATATATATATATATATATATATATATATATATGTATGTATATATATATATGTGTGTATATATATATATATATGTATATATATATATTAAATATATGCCTCGACTTGGGTGTGTAGTAATGGATCCACGTTTCATCCATCGTAATAAAACAACGCAAAAATTCCGATGGATTGCGATTAAACATGTCCAAACACTGTTGAGAAGTCGTCACTCGGTTGCGTTTTTGGTCAACAGTCAACACGCGCGGCACCCATCTGGCAGCAAGCTTTTTCATTTCCAAATGTTTGTGTAAAATATTAAAAACACGTTCATAAGAAATGTTTACACGGTTAGCAATTTCACGAACTTTGATTTTACGATTTTCTATCAAATATGAATTTTTTCGATCATTTCTTCAGTTGTGACCTCTTTTGGCCTTCTGCGTCACTTGTGCTTGAACGACCATGTTTGAATTCATTATACCAATCGTAAAAAGTTTTTTTCGATGGAGCAGAGGAACCCAAAGTTTTATTGAAGTCATTTATTATTTCTTGAGGTTTCAAGCCTTTCAAATATTGATATTTTAACACTGCCCGAATTTTAGTTTTTTCCAGCAAAAAAATCGAGATTATTTTACTTCACTTGCTATAAACACAAAACTAGATAATAAACTGACTTAAAATTTATAAAGTAATCCTATACAGGTCTGAACTTGCCGTACATATAGATTTTATCTTTATAACGATGATTCATACATCCCATTCCGGGAACTTATCAATCCATGTAGTACAATTACTATGTTTACACATTTTACTTAGAAAAACTAAGTAGCCTTGTGTTATACTTTATTTGCCTCGTGCTTAATTTTACTATGGAAAAAAATTAATGTTATTCAAATTTAAGAAGGAAAGCAGGTTATAACAGGATTTTCAAAAAAAAGTACTTTAGAAAAAATCTATTTTCCTCAGCATTAATTTAACTTCTCAATCGGAAATCACTAACTTAACTCAAAAATTTTGACAACATCCTCATAAAGGTTATCACATAGCAGCAAAAATAGTAATACAAAAATTAATGATTTAAATTGCCTTCATGCTTTATACTTATTGTCACAGACATTTTAAAATCAATTGTTACTTTGATTGGGCATAGTCCTCAATTCCATAACAATCCAATTAAAATCTTAACTGATTTATCAAAAAAGAAAGGCTTAGCTGTGTTTTTAAACATTTCTTGTACAACATCTTCGTGCAATTGGAATCAGTCTTTTTATTCTAGCAAAGAGATTGAAAAGCAAGGTCGAGGAATGTCACCATTTGAAATAAACTATAGGTCTGTTGTTGCCATGAGAGAGATAGGAAAAGGTCATTATAGTTTAGAAAAATTTTGTGGATTAATAACCTCCTCCAATAAACATAAAAGCATTTAATGGTATTCAAGATAAAATTCATATCGTATACCAAACTGTAGTTGATGTGAAAATGAAAAATGCAGCAAACGAATTTCGATATCTTAACAACGATATCCAACCAAATGATTTTGATATTAATGTATTAGCTGATGTTGTTGTTTCCTGTGATGGAACTTGGCAAAAAAGGGATCATTCCTCGCTTAATGGTGTTGTTACTGTTATTGCTAGTGGCTCAGGGAAATGTGTTGACTATCAAGTTCTTTCAAAAATATGCTATGCTTGTACATGATCGGAATCAAGAAAAGATTGCGATCTAAATTTTTTTGAAAATATTTTGGAAACCCATGATTGTTTAAGGGATATCACCCCCCATTATTAGATAATAAACCAAGAACAATAGTTTTAAAACTCCTGAACTTTCACGACAAAAACAAAATACTCAACTCATTAACTCATCTTAAAGGAACTGGCATTTACATAAACGAAGATTTTGCCCAAGAAACTATCGAACATCGAAGGAAGCTTTGGGAAGAAGTGAAAAAATTACGCAGCGAAGGTAAATACGCTATTTTAAAGTATGATAAAATTTTTAGTCATTTTTTCTTTTGAAAGAAAAGCTAACAAAAGAGGTGGAATAATAACCTACATCCATAATGACTTAAACACAAAAATTAGAAATGATCTTTCTATTTCTGATTCAAATAGTGAGGTCTTTACAGTTGAAGTCATTAATGATACTACAAAAAATCTCTTAATATCCTCTTGTTATAGACCGCCCGATGGAGATATTATAATGTTTTCAAGTTTTATGAAACAAATATATACAACAAGCAATGTTGAACATAAAAAGCTATTCTGTATTGGTGACATGAACATAAATTACCTAAGCTATCATGAACACGCTAATACCAAATTTTTTTTCGATGATATGATACAACATTACATTTTCCCAATTATAAACAAACCCACCCGGGTAACTCCCACCTCAATTACAGCTATTGACAATATATTGACAAATTCAATTCAAGATCCATCCTTAAAAGTAGGAATAATTAAAACGGATATATCTGACCACTTCCCAATTTACTTCTCACTGTCACAACAAGCAACACGTGTCAATAACTTGAAAATAAAAATCATCAAAAGAAGCATAAATAAATTCTCGACCCAAAAACTAAAAGACTCACTAGCGGTAGTAAATTGGTCAAAAATATATCATGAATGTAACCTCGGATACACAAATTCCGCTTACAATAATTTTATAAATATTTTCCTAAATCTTTACAATAAACATTTTCCAAAGGTCGAAAAAGAAATTAAAGCAAAATACCTAACCACTCCATGGATTACCCAAGGAATAAGAAAATCGTCAAAACAAAAACAAAAACTCTACATAAAATATCTAAAAAATAGAAACCATTTTAATTTGTCTAAGTATAAACAATATAAAAATCTATTTGAAAAAATAAAATTAAAATCCAAAAAACTATATTTTTCAAAGCAAATACAAAAATTTAAAGGAGATAATAAAAAAATCTGGGATATTATAAAAGAAATAATTGGTAAAGATAAAAAAAACTCGAACCAACTACCTCCAAAAGTTCTCATAAGTGAAAAAGAGTTTAATAATAAAAAAATTGTCTCTGAAAAATTTAACAAATACTTTGCAAGTATAGGTTCCAAACTCGCCTCTAAAATTCAACCTACAAACAATTCATTTGAGAATTACATCGAGGACTCTCGTTGCTCCCTAGTTTTTAAAGAACTAGAATACGAAGAGCTTGAAACAGCAATTAAAACATTAAAAATTAACAAAGGTCCAGGTATCGACAATATCCCAGCCAATATTATTTTGAATGTCTTCCCAGAAATAAGTAAACCCATTTTTCAAATATTTAACTCTTCAATAATTACAGGAATTGTACCCGACTATTTAAAAATAGCTAAAATTATTCCTATCTATAAATCCGGAGATACATCTTTCTTAAATAATTACAGACCAATATCAATCCTTCCCGTATTTTCAAAACTGCTCGAACGAATAATCTACAATCGTTTATATAAATACCTAACCACAAACAAAATCCTGAATGAAAACCAATATGGTTTTCAAACTCAGCACTCGACAGAGCATGCTATCGTAGACCTCGTCAATAGAATTAGTGAATCAATCTATGAAAAGAAGTTCGTATTAGGAGTCTTTGTAGACTTGTCAAAAGCGTTCGACACAATAAATCATGAAATCCTACTAAAAAAGTTAGAAAAATACGGATTAAAAAACCATACACTGCAGTGGTTTAAAAGTTATCTGTATAACAGACAACAGTGTGTTATTACAGATGATAATTACCACAGTAAATTATTAAAATTAACTTGTGGTGTTCCTCAAGGTTCGATTCTTGCTTCTCTTTTGTTCCTAATCTATATAAACGACCTTCCAAAAGTTTCTAGCAAACTTGAATTTATAATGTTTGCAGACGATACAAATTTATTTTACTCTTCGACAAACATCAAGGATCTGTATGATAATGTAAACATAGAACTCCAAAAATTAAATATATGGTTTAAAACAAATAAGTTATCGCTAAACATAGAAAAAACAAAATACACTTTATTTCACTCAAACCAACAAAGAAACACACTACCAAATATTCTACCCTCTCTAAAAATAGAAAATATAGTAATTGAGAGAACTCACGAAACTAAATTTTTAGGAGTTATAATTGATGAAAATTTATCTTGGAAAAGTCACATAAATGCTTTAAACACTAAAATATCAAAAAACATAGGTCTACTTTATAAAGCAAAACTTATGCTGTCGCAAAGTAATTTAAAACTTATATATTTCTCTTTTATGCACAGCTACCTCATATATGCGAATATAGCTTGGGCGAGTACGCATATAACCAAATTGAAAACTTTATATCGACGTCAGAAACATGCTGTTAGACTTATCTACCATAAAGACAAATTTACACACACTGAACCCTTATTTAAAGAAATGAATGTGTTTAATATTTATCAAATTAATATTTACCAATATATATATATTGTTTATGCTAAAATTTAAATTAGGTCAAGTACCAAACCATTTTTTAAATAACTTTTTTATAAATAACGTTAATAAATATAACACAAGAGAAAAAGGAAACTTTATTACACCTTTCAAAAAAACAAAACTTTCCCAGTTCTCAATTTCATATCGGGGTCCTTATTTATACAACAAACTAGTAACTAAAAATAAATCAATCTGCAATCTAGATTCAATTTGCAATCAAAATTTCTTGAAAAAAAAGTTAAAAAATCTGATACTGAATCTAAACAGATACTCAGAATTCTTCTAAGACTATAAATTAAAATACATATATATCAACTACAAAGTGAACTGACTCGTTTATGTGTATTATCTAAATGAATCTTTTTTTTTTTTCTCAAATTTCTCAAACAATATATCAAAATGTGTTTATTACACACAAAAAAAACACTTGATTTTTTCTTATCAAGTTTAGTTATTATGCTGCTAGTTATGTCTAATATTTTATACTGAGCTTATTTTGAGTTTATTTTTTATTATGAGCTAAATTTAAAGAATATATAAACATAGTTGTACTTAATATATAATTATATTTAACATAATCATAATAATATATCAAACACATTGTAAGGGCTTCGTGATAAGATCATCACGATCTTCTTGAAGTCCGGCCTGTACTATTTAATTATAAATTTCACTATATATATTTTGACTCACGAGACTTGTAAATATTAATTTACGAAACTTGTAAATGTTATATGTACGGCAAATATATGAATAAAAAAAAAAAAAAAAAAAAAAAAATTATTAAATATAGACAGTAGAAGTAAACTTTTGAAATAATCTAACAAATATTCTAACAAAACCATAAATTTTACACACAAAAAAAAATTTGGTCATCGGGTATCGCATATACCCCAAAAAGCCCTAAATATAGGCAGAAAATAGGATTTGCGCCGGCCAAGATTTAGCAAAAACTAATAAAAAAGGCAAAGCAAAACTTTGGTAACACATTTAGAATAGGCGCATGAGTGTTTTAAATGGAACAGATTTTTTTTAAAAAGTTTTCGGTCTGAGGACCTCTCCACCAAAGTTGATATCAGAAAAAAGATCATTTTATTAAAATATAAATTAGCCATACTGGTTTTTTACTTGGTTTATTAAAATTCTGTTCCACTTAAAACACAGTTCTTATTGAAATGAAGATGTGCTGAAAATTTCAGACAAAAAGCCCAAGTGGATCTCTTGTAATTGCGGCCGGCATATTGAAAAACCTTGAACTAAAAAAACACGCAATAAGTAAAAAAAATAAATAAATAAGCTACAAATATACCAAATATAACATGCAAGACTCTAATTGAAAT